CCGATTCCAACTCATGGTGATTCCAAAGGACAGAGTAGAACTGACCTCTAGGGTTTCCAAAGGCTGGCCAGGAGCAGGCTGCCACGTCTTTCACCCACAGAACAGCTAATACATTTCAACTGGTGAATTTTGAGTTTGCACATCAGCGCTTTAAGCACTGTGCCACCAGGGCTTCCTTCTAACAGTAGACAAAAACCAAACCCACTGACAAATCAATTTTGATTCACAATAACCCTGCGTAATTTCCACAACTTTGTAAATCTTCATGGGAGCATACAGCTTCATCTTTGTCCCACAGAGTGGCTGGTGGGCTCGAACCACCGACCTTATGACTAAGACTCTAAAGCTTACCCAGCAGTACAAATAACTAAACATTCAAGATCTAATTTTAGATGACTCATTTTAATTATTTCCCCATAAAATAAAAGATGACCGATTATATAGAGATAGTGGAACTTCTGACATGACACAAATCTATGTTGATGTGATGTACAAATGCTTTTCACTTAATGTCTGGAGAGAATTGTAGTATACATGTTTGAAGTTTGAGGACCAAACCAAACAGACTTCTGAGATGACTGGAGAGTTTATAATATGATCAAATAAAATAGGGTTTGGTCATTTTTAAAGATAAATGTTGACTTTATTTCCAATCGGTCAGTGTTACTGAGGGGAACTGAAGGTCTACTTTAATAGTTTATGCTATTTTGCATCTCAGAATCTTGTGAAGCAGGGACTACCAAGGGAGATATGAATGAGATTTTGTAAGGAACTAGTGATTTTAAGCCTGAACAAATTTTAAAAGGCTAATATATGTTTTGTTGTGGTTGCTTTTTTACAAAAGGGAATTGCCATATTCAGCATAATTCTAGATGGAAGGAAGTAGGTTAAAAGACAGAAATTACACGAGAGGGATTTTCGACTAAGATTTCAGAAGATCTTGCTATTTACCCATGTGGCATCAGCGATGAGTTGTCAAAGGAACGTGTAGTTGGTGCTCTGCCCTGCACAGTTTCAACCCAAGGTTGGGAATTGCCAGCACCTTTCCTCAGGAGACAGGAGACTCTCCACTAAATCAACACAAATTGGCTATTCACATATGAGCTTCTGTAAATCTAATTTCTTCTCTGTTCTTGACATCATTTACAAAGTGGGATGCCTGCTGTGGCGTTAGATTAGCGATTACATTGGCGATTGAGTGCTGACATGAAGTTTAATTCTGCCTTTCTTCTCTTATTTTAATTGCATTTTGATTCATCAAATGCTGGCCTTCTCAGCAGGTAGACAGCACCTTTTTGTGAAAATTCAACCTCACTGCCATGAGTCAGTTCCGAGGAAGGACCCGGTAGAGCTGCCCCTGTGAGTTTTCGAGACGTGATTCTTTACCAGAATAGAAAACCCCGTCTTTCTTCCTTGGAGTGGCTGGTGGTTTCAAACCCCTGACCTTGTAGATAGCAGCCCAAAGTGCAATATCTAGGGGACTTTAAGAAAGCAAAGGCTCATTCCACCAATTTATAGAACACTTATTTTTTACCAGCATCTCAAGAATTAAGGAGCCCTCATGGCATAATGGGTATGCCTTGGGCTGCTAACTTGGAGATCAGCAGTTCAAAGCCACCGGTTGCTCCTCCGGAGAAAGATGAGGCTTTCTACTCTCGTAAAGAGTTACAGCCTCAGAAACCCCCAGGAGCAGTTTTACCCTGCCCTTCAGGGTCTCCGTGAGTCCGAATGGACTCGCTGACAGGGAGTGAGCAAGGGGGAGAGGGTCAGAATTCATCCTGCCTTGGTGCTCCTGCTTCTTTGCTTTTGTCTGGTGATCTTCAGAGCCCGGGAGTGCCGATCCACTTTCATTGGGGGGTGCGGTGGGGGTGGGGTTAGGTAGTAAAGGAGCTGGTTAACTACAAGTGGTTTAAGTGAGGTCAGTGATACTCTTATGCTAGGGTGCTTTTAGATCAGTTTCCCAAATGGAGCTCCACACCAAGAAGGGAGTAACAGCAGAAAGGCCGAAGTAATTTGAACAAAGAAAAGTAAATAAATAAGTGGGATTAAAAAACAAAGGCATCTTTGGGTGGTACGGATGACTGACATACTTTGCTGCTAACTGAAGGGTGGAAGGTTCAGGTCCACGCAGCACCAACTCACAAGAAAGGGCTGCCGGCCTCTGTCTAAAGCTCCACTGAGAACAAATGCCTAGAAAGGAACGCTCCACCCTGGCGCATGGGTGTGTCGCCATGGGCCAGAGTCAACTGCGTGGCAACTGTCTCTAGTTTGCAGCATAGATAGGTTTCATTTCCTGACCAGAGGATATTACTATGCAACATTTTCCATTTAAATGTTAAGATTTTACTGGACCATGTGTTATGGGCTGTATGCAATCCACCCATAAAGATATATGAGGCAGCATTGTTCCCTGCCTGACATCTGGTAGACTTCTTATATAGCCTTCCCATTTCTGTATTTTAATCCCTAATACATATTTGAGTGGTGAAATGTCATCAAAGATTTTTTTTCCTAACCCCTCTATGAATTTTCAATCATTTCTTCTTGAGAATGACTAACTTGGGCAGGCCAGCCATAAAAGAACTGCTGTTGCCGATATTTGTCACACGGCTCTCCTTCTCTTCATGCCAGGGGTGGGCGGCAACAGACAACCACAGTCCGGCCCAGGGCCTCCCAGCACTGGAGGCCGCAGCCGCTA